TGATCATCATGTCATAATCCCAGCAAGAGGATGGACAAATTGTACATAGTATTATGCATACTGTACAGACATGTCATAACCCCAGCAAGAGGATAGACAAGGACTGCACACTGAGCAGACAGCAGAAAGGAGGAGGAGGGGGCATGTCAAGAGCCAAACATACTGACACACAGTCACTGACACTGGTAGACACCAGTGATCTAAATGCAAACTGAGATCTACTCATGACGGACCATGGAGCAGCAACTATACCATAAACGGTCAACACGGGAGCACGTGGGTTCACGTGACCGTCCAGTGCCAAGACATGGGTTCGGTCCACACTTCAGTTGAGTATTCCCTCAGTAGCATGACTGTATGCAATGTATCTACGATTACAATGCACACGTATATGTACACTCATGTAACTGTTGCTGTGTTCTATGTTGCCAAATTGTAGCTCTACAGGACTGTGATATTTTACAACCATTTTGCGTAGACAGCATGGAGATCCTATTGTTATTGTGGACGGTTTTTGGAATTGACTTAGCACAACTACACATAGATCTACCCACCCCACGCCCAGCATATTGCACCTCTCCCATATCGCAGACATGAAGAGGATCATGATCTGGCTCTACCGGCCAAGACTAGTAAGAACCGCAGTGCACTACATAGTAGATATCCATCACAGGCTCTGAGTTTGACCGTTGCGCGTGCCAGTCACAGTCAGGTTGCGTCGATTTCGTTAGTGCACGGGTCCGAGTCAAACTCGCGCGTGGCCGGCCGCCCCGGAAGACATCATCCGTCAGCGCACTGCCAACGGCACCGCAACGGCAGAGCGCATGTTCTTCAAACTTCAATCGACAACCTTCAATGACTGGAGTTTCGAAGAAGAAGAAAAGTGATTGATACAGGCGCTCCGTGTACTGTGTGCCACGGCCCATCCCAATATCTCTCTAACACGAGTATCTTGCTTGAGGGTAGGGCTTGCCGTTCGTCGAAAGGCTCCTGAAGGGAGCAGGAGTGCGATTGAAGTCGTTCACAGATTGGAGGCCGGATCATCGAAGCCGTGGCGGTCCGGAGAGATATGGCGGAACGGCGGTTGTCCACCTCGCTCCTGTCGGCGGTCAGTGTTTGGTGTGTGTTGATGCTAACTGCCACCGGACAGGAGACCCTCGGTACCCCAGGTAAGGATGGAATGCTTGTGCTCATATCACTATAGATGCCTGGATATCTGCACATGATGAGTGGAATAGAGGACACGCTAATCTGCTTTGAAAGACACGAATTTCCCACTCTCAGTCATTACCCTCACATGGAATAGGACATCCACTAGTACAGGCATTGTACTTTGCAGGTTCCAGATCTACTGCATGTACTTTCACTGAAGACAATGGCAACAAAGCCTTGTGTAGTGCATGCAGGCAGTCGAGCAATAAAAATAGAAGTCTACAAATCTAGGACTCTAACATGCTTGAAATTTACTCATTGTTGACGTGGTCTGCAACATTTCCAGTTCAGTCATGTTCATTGAGACATCACGTTTACAGACCACCCAGAAGGCTAGTGGAAACACATGCATCGCAGGGGCGGTGGAACTGTTCGGGCCAGTCTGGCCAATGACGGACCAACTTTTGCGACCGCAACGAACCGTTTTCTCATCATTTCTCAAGCACGCCGCTATCCACAGTATGCCAGCCGGCATTGTGGAGTGACTGTGTGAGTGCTGTAACCAGAACTTCAGAAGGCCATCTAGCTGTACTGGGGAAGGGTGTCATGCTTGCTGGTAGAAAAACTGTGCAGCCAAACAAAGCGCACTAGCCACAAAAAGTCTGGCTTCTTCGCCTATACTGTGGGATTTCATTCTAGGCTTTTGAGTTACTTTATGTCCATTAATTTGTAGTTGATCCTGTATCATAGCGGAGAAAGCATGCTACCTTCATTTGGGTCTTGAGCCTTTGCATCCAGAGCTGAGCTTCCCCTTCCCAAAGGGTCTGGTAAAACAAAAATACAAGATGTCAAGAGCTCAGCAAACTCGGGCAGCAAACTTCACATCACGGTTGTGACATTTGTATGAGGAATTGGAGGACGGACCCGGATGGAGAGCCAAGGATAAATTTATAGAAAAGAAAAAAGGACCAAGGAACTACAAGTTACGCTATATTGTCCACTATCACCACCAGTTACTAGACAATCAGCTCATGCGATAACATTGCACGACATTGACGGCCAGTTAGTTGTAGAACGTCAGTACCGTCGGCCAGTGTCGTGCAATGTTATCCCATGAGCTGATTGTTTAGTAACTGGTGGTGTTAGTGGACATTACAGTGTACAGTCAACTTGGCTAATAACGACTGCGGATATAACGACAATTCGCGAATAACGACAGAATTTCCATGCCCAGAGCAAAGTCCCATCCAACTGTAATACATAATTATAATGGGACTTCGGGTATAACGACACTTCGCGAATAAGGACACTTTTCTGATGCCCCGCCGAGTGTCGTTATACGCGAAGTTGACTGTAACTTGTAGTTCCTTGGTCCTTTTTCTTTTCAATGAATTGGAGGACATTTTCCTTTGTTCTAGCTGCAAGATGACCACCAACAGCAATTAGGTACTTGGCAGACGCAGAGGTGCAGCAATTGTTTGTAACCAAATTTCAAAAAGCAAAGGTGCCACGCTTGTGTTTAGATAGCTTTTAAAACATACACGTCCACAATGCACAAATAACTAGGACTGAGTCGGGTAGCAAGTTCTTCGGGTATCGGGTTCAGGTAGTTTCCCACAGGTAGCACGGGTACCCTAGCGGGTAATGTTTCCACGGTAACACCACAATGCACCCCTTCCCTTGCACACTGGGTAGACATGTGGAGCATTACATGAATTTGTACACGTGCACGGTACATGATGTCATCTGCGACTTCAGGTTTACGGGTACTATTCTGTACCCGTCTACGCGAGGTCCTCACGGGTACCCGAATACCCGTGCACACCACTACAAATAACGCCTCTCCAAAACCTTCCCCGGAGTAGCTCACATGCTCAGGTTTAGACTGACAGATAGAATATTGATTTATTCCTGAAGCTATGCAAAAGACGTTAGTTTAGTAGCAACTAGCGCTAGCCAGGGTCCATGGCGCTTCAATTTGATGTGTGTTTTGTGTGGTGGAGCAGTCATCACAGAACGTGCTATGCCTGGCGCTATCCCACACATGTCCCATACCGTACGGTCTAAGACAGAAAGTATAAAAAAAAGACCAACCATAAGTCATAAGAAGAAAGAGGACCAAAGAGCTACAAGTTATGCTCTAATATCTGCTAAACTGTAGCTCTTTGGTCCTCTTTCTTCTTAGAAATTAATCCTTGGCTCTCCACCCGAGTCTAACCATAAGTTACTTTGGTAGTATACTGTAAAGTCGCGGATAAAAGCCGGGTTTGCATACAAGCACATTGCGGATAGAAGCCTGAAAATCAAACGGGTCAATGCATATAAGCCTGTCGCGCGTAGAAGCCTGGCTTCTATGCAAGCGCGGATCGGGTAGGTCAAGAGTGAATGCGCTATGTACAGTGCATAGTAAAACTGCCGCCATACCGGTAGTCAGTGGTAGATCTACGCGTGTCGCGCGTAGAAGCCTGGCTTCTGTGCAAGCCCGGATCGGCCGATGTGCATACGAAGCCTGGCAAAAATATCAGTGGTGCATATAAGCATGGTTTGCATACAAGCCTGGTTTGCATTGAAGCCTGATGCAGAACGCAGCTTATGTGCTTATAAGCCCGGCTTTTATCCGCGACTTTACGGTACTCATAACCAAGAATATTCCCAAGTACCTGATCACGTAATGTGCCATGCCTGGCGCTATCCCATACATGTCCCATACCGTACGGTCTAAGACATAAAGTGTAAAAAAGAAGAAGAAGACCAACTATAAGATAAGAAGAAAGGGTACCAAAGAGCTACAAGTTACGCTATAATATCCGCTAACCTGTAGCTCTTTGGTCCTCTTTCTTCTTAGAAATTAATCCTTGGCTCTCCACCTGAGCCTAACCATAAGTTAGGATACTCATAACCAAGAATATTCCCAAGTATAAACCTCCCAGCATGAAATTTCGGCAAAAATGAGATACTAGGGTACAGTAAAACCTGGTTTTAGCAACTACCTGATTTAGCGTCCACCTGATTTTCATGACCGCATTTCAATGCACGGACAGTTCTACGCAGAAACTGCAACGGGCGCAGCAACCATCTGGCTTGCTCGACCAACGACTGACTTTCAGTGTAATATCTGACCTGTATACAGCCGCTAAAACTAGCCACTTGAACAGTGCTATCCTGGCTGGCGAGCTTGACTGCAATAGGGTAGAAGTGTGCTCAGAAGCAAGTGCATGCAGTCAACAGAAGTGACAAGTGAAAGTGCACGGTGTGCTGCATGCACTTGAGTGAGGTGTGGAACTCATGGGTGCTTTGCCTGCACAAAAGTGTTCTATGCTCCACACACCTTTCAATATGAGTACATATACATGGAAGTACCTGCTCATGTATGTGCATACAATGTACACGATCCGACATGCCTCGAATGCATGACACCTGGTTCTAAAGACCACCTGGCTTTAACAACCGTTTTTTGCTTGTACCGTGATGTTGTCGCTTTTAAAAACCAGGTTTTGCAGTACTATCAAGCAAGCCACTGAGAAAGTAATGTTAGAAGAAAGAAACACATAATTTCTTGTATGACCGTATGATCATCCTTGTATACTAATTGTTCTTTTATGGTGCAAATGTGAACAGACCAAGGAGGCAGAGACACAACATCCAAAACACTTCCAACAACACCTCAATTGACAACGGATGGAAATATATCAATTACTGAGACATCAGAGATGATGAGTCAAACGGCAGGAATAAAAACAAAACCAACGGTACAAACCGGATTGACCACTTTACAACTAATAGTTCAGACTTTGCCACCCGGGCAATCGGATGCAACATCCACCGTGATGTTAACCTCTCCAGGAAGTATGTCAGCAACTGCAACAGCTACAACTACAGCAACCACACCTCCATCAAACGCAACTGCAGCACCCTCAACTCTAGCAACCACAATCCCAGCACCCACAACCATGGCAACCACAACCGCAGCACCCACAACCGCAGCAACCACAATCCCAGCATCCACAACCGCAGCAACCACAATCCCGGCACCCACAACCGCAGCAACCACAATCCCAGCACCCACAACCGCAGCAACCACAACCGCAGCACCCACAACCGCAGCAACCACAATCCCAGCACCCACAACCGCAGCAACCACAATCCCGGCACCCACAACCGCAGCAACCACAATCCCAGCACCCACAACCGCAGCAACCACGATCCCAGCACCCACAACCGCAGCAACCACAATCCCGGCACCCACAACCGCAGCAACCACAATCCCAGCACCCACAACCGCAGCAACCACGATCCCAGCACCCACAACCGCAGCAACCACAATCCCAGCACCCACAACCGCAGCAACCACAACCGCAGCAACCACAACCGCAGCAACCACAATCCCAGCACCCACAATCCCAGCAACCACAATCCCAGCACCCACAACCGCAGCAACCACAACCGCAGCAACCACAATCCCAGCACCCACAACCGCAGCAACCACAACCGCAGCATCCACAACCGCAGCAACCACAACCGCAGCACCCACAACCGCAGCAACCACAATCCCAGCACCCACAACCGCAGAAACCACAATCCCAGCACCCACAACCACAGCAACCACAATCCCAGCACCCACAACCGCAGCAACCACAACCGCAGCAACCACAACCGCAGCAACCACAACCGCAGGAACCACAATCCCAGCACCCACAACCACAGCAACCACAATCCCAGCACCCACAGCCGCAGCAACCACAACCGCAGAAACCACAATCCCAGCACCCACAACCGCAGCAACCACAATCTTGGCACCCACAACCGCAGCAACCACAACCCCAGCACCCACAACCGCAGCAACCACAATCCCAGCACCCACAACCGCAGCAACCACAACCGCAGCAACCACAACCGCAGCACCCACAACCGCAGCAACCACAATCCCAGCACCCACAACCGCAGAAACCACAATCCCAGCACCCACAACCGCAGCAACCACAATCCCAGCACCCACAACCGCAGCAACCACAACCGCAGCAACCACAACCGCAGCAACCACAACCGCAGCAACCACAACCGCAGCAACCACAACCGCAGCAACCACAATCCCAGCACCCACAACCGCAGCAACCACAATCCCAGCACCCACAGCCGCAGCAACCACAATCGCAGCAACCACAACCGCAGCAACCACAACCGCAGCAACCACGGTCCCAGCACCCACAATCGCAGAAACAACATTCCCAGTACCCACAACCGCAGCAACCACAATCCCAGCACCCACAACCGCAGCAACCACAACCGCAGCAACCACAATCGCAGCAACCACAACCGCAGCAACCACGATCCCAGCACCCACAACCGCAGCAACCACAATACCAGCACCCACAACCGCGGGACCCACAATCGCAGCAACCACAACCGCAGGACCCACAATCGCAGGACCCACAACCGCAGCACTCACAACCGCAGCACTCACAACCGCAGGACCCACAATCGCAGGACCCACAACCGCAGCACCCACAACCGCAGTACCCACAACCGCAGGACCCACAACAGCAGGACCCACAACTGCAGGACCCACAACCACAGTACCCACAACAGCAGCACCCACAACCGCAGCACTCACAACCGCAGGACCCACAACCGCAGCACCCACAACCGCAGCACTCACAACCGCAGGACCCACAACCGCAGCACCCACAACTGCAGGGCCCACAACCGCAGCACCCACAACCGCAATAACCACACCTGTAGCACCCTCAACCACATCACCCAATACTGCAGAACCAAAAACCGCTGAACCGACAACCGCATCACCGTCAACTGCAGCACCTACCACCCCAGCACCCACAACCCGAGCACCCACCACTGCAGCACCCACAGCTGCAGCACCCACAACTTCAGCAACCACAACTGCAACACCAACAACCCCAGCAACCACAACCCCAGCACCCACAACCTCAGCAACCACAACCACATCTCCCACAACAGTGATACCCACATTGCCGTCAAGTAAGTATCTTCCATTGACCTTGTTATGAGATACATTGCATGGTTGTAGACAGTTCAGAGATGTAGCTTGGGGTTCATTTGGAGTGGTGCACTACCTACCTATGCTGTACACGCCTTTTATCAGCCTGCTTTTGTGGATTATTTTGTGTTTATAGATCCACCACACATACTAGCCTTAATCAAGGTAGTCTCCATAGTGAAGCACTAGGAAAACAATTGGTTGACTTATCTTGCTCCTGGGCATGAAAAAGTGTCACATTCAAGAAAGATGCGCCATGTTGTTAAAATGTCTCAGTGTCCACAACAAACCTATCTCTGGCACCTCCAATACGTATCTACATGTATAGAAAGCGTACGTTTGGAGAGTCCAATGATGATGAGCTGTCCACAAAATACTTCTTTTTGCACAAAATGGGCACAAGTTGAAACAAAGAGTCGTGAAAATAATAATGGATTAATGTGAAAGAAGTTGTTGCGTATTTGTAGTAAAAATATGTTAACACAGAATGCGCATGCTCCGTTTCCAACCAAACTCTCGCACGCTCACCATTTTTTCAATTACCATCCTCAGCAGGCAAACTCCGCCGGGTCCCATGCTGTGTTATCAAAACAATAATGCACATCCCTTCTACAGTGAAATCCTCTCGTGTGAGTCTAATTTGCGCCCCACACACTACGGTGCATATGCAAGTGCTCATCGGTCTGGGCTTAGCTGCACAGCGCCTGGCCTGACATTGACTGATTCAGGAAGTACCTTCTACAATATGCAGAGGCTCCACTGGAGCCAATTAGTCATGTCTCAATCTCCTTATCCACCATGATCTTACACTGCAATCGTCGGAAATTTTATGTCTCTCCAAATTGTTGACCTTGGGACTTCATCAGGGATTAAAATAGGAGAGACAGATAATTACGACGGTTGTAGTGTAAGACCGTGGTGGAGAAGGAGATTTAGACATGATTCAGGAAGATCACAAAAAACAATGCAGCAGTTAGTACATGTACATGTGCACAGAATGAACATGGCCATATGGGTGGTTTCTGTATGTAACCTCCTCACTACGGGTGTGTATTGCTGTTCATGGATAATTATCGTTGTTTGCTTACACAAATATTTGCGTTCCTGCACTTGTTTCATCCCAGGTATGACATCCATGTGTGACTCACAAACTCAAGATGGTGGTTGTGTCTTCCTGGACTTCACAAGCGGATGGACCAAGGGCAGTGGTATGAATTCTGGTAAGTGCTTTTCTGGAAACGTTTGCTCTGTTATATATATCACCATCCCACTAACGAAATGTAGTTAATACGCTGTAAGCTGCAAACAAATTGGAATGCATAACCAATGATAAAAATCATTGAACCGGGGTATGATCTGAAAGCACTCCGTGACCTGATTCAGATTTAGGGTCGTACTGAAAACTGGCACAAATGGATTTAGTGGGGTTTGCATTCCAGCACTCTTTTTTTTAATCTAAAAGCACTGTTAACTTCATCTTGAAAATGACTTTGCTGACTGAGTCCAAGAAATTCTGAGGATATATCTTGTTAGTGGACTAGCTGTGGAGTGATAGTCCAAGTTTCAGCCAGGCCTGTGCCTCAGAGGTGGATGTGAAGGCCCTAAAGGGACTTTTTAGGAAAAGGTTCCATGTGGAATAGCATTCTCGGAAAGTGAGCCGGAAAAATCTCCGGCAAATCTTCCGAGCACTCCAGCACTACTAGACGTTCCAGGCACTCCATCTTTGCTAGATGCTCCAGGCACTCCACCTTTGCTAGATGCTCCAGGCACTCCACCTTTGCTAGATGCTCCAGGCACTCCACCTTTGCTAGATGCTCCAGGCACTCCACCTTTGCTAGATGCTCCAGGCACTCCACCTTTGCTAGATGCTCCAGGCACTCCACCTTTGCTAGATGCTCCAGGCACAATGTCACCAGACCACATAGTTATTGTGCTGCTTTTCTTCTCTCTACTGTTATGCCATTCAAGGTGTAAGCCAGTTGAGTGGTGGATTCACAGGTGTGGAGACTATCTACTTTGCCTCTCCGCAAGGTGCACCTGTACCCAGTCTCTCAGGATATGTATTCACCTTGCCATGTACAGTCAGGCTGGTATTGCAGCAAAATGCATCCGATTCCTGCACGGCTGCTGTACTAAATTCCCTGTCTTCATTCAGTGTTGCTGGTGGACTCTGTTCTCCATCGATATCAGTACTTCAAGCTGATGTAACGGACAGTCTATTTAGAGCAAATCAAGTTCAGCTGGGAGGAAGCAGTGACCCAGTAGATGTCATTCATTTGCTCAATGTAACATCACTCGCAGCTGGAAACACTCTAAATCTGTGGAATGCTACATCATCATGCAGTAAGTAATGCATGCATTCCGCAGAAATACGGTATAGCAGGTATTGGCACGTTGCGGCAGAATTTTCGTCCATCCTTCTCAGCTGCCGTTAGTACAGCGCTACTCAATGAAAATCCGAGCAAGGGAGCTAGTGCCACGCTGGGCGCTGGGCCTTAGACCTGCATACACTGGTATGTGAACACAGGTGCAGGGCACAGACTTGCTTCTTGCGAGCGGATTTCATTGAGCAGTACTGTAATTACTCTAGACATTTAAAAACTGTTAGTGCGTTTTCCTTGCGAGCCACCATGCCCTCTTCCTTGCTTATGACTCCACGCTTCCATAAATTGTGAGAAACCATACACACTTTGCTACTAGGTTGTAGGGGTCTCGTATACATGTTGTGAACCTCACACTAACTTCTAATGCTGGTCTGAAAGGTGATGAACTAGACATTAGCATGATCAACAAAATATCGACTTGGAAGACGATATACATGTTCTTACTCCCTGCTCTATGTGGAGCCACTCACTTGGGCTTCGTGTTGAGCCAATCTCTAAGGTCTAGTCAATCTTTCTAAGGTCTAGCCAATCTCTAAGGTCTAGCCAGTCTCTCTTTCCCTTTGTGTTTGTTGCATGTGTTCTATGTTGAAACACATTGCCTCACTTGCAGCCAGCACCCACATGCCACCCAACTCTGTGCTCTGTGCCTTTGTGTTCTGTAAAGGCGTAAAGAGTCGATTACGATTTTGTCTTTCCTCTTTATTTTCTCATTTTATAGAAGTCACAAATGAAACTTTGATACCAACTACCCAACCCCCAATGACCCAAGGACCAACAACGCAATCACCAACAACACAAGTGCCAACAACCCAAGTGCCAACAACTCAAATACCCACAACACAAGCACTATCAACCCAAGCCCAAACAACCCAGCCACCGACAACCCAAGCACAAACAACACAAGCCACAAGTCCAACAACCCAGCTACCAACAACACAAGTACCCACAACCCAAGCGCCAACAACCCAAGTGCCAACAACCCAGCCACCAACAACCCAGCCACCAACAACCCAGCCACCAACAACCCAGCCACCAACAACCCAAGCGCCAACAACCCAAGCGCCAACAACCCAGGCACCAACAACCCAAGTACCAACAACCCAGGCGCCAACAACTCAAGCACCAACAACCCAAGCGCCAACAACCCAAGCGCCAACAACCCAAGCGCCAACAACCCAAGCGCCAACAACCCAAGCGCCAACAACCCAAGCGCCAACAACCCAAGCGCCAACAACCCAAGCGCCAACAACCCAAGCGCCAACAACCCAAGCGCCAACAACCCAAGCGCCAACAACCCAAGCGCCAACAACCCAGCCACCAACAACCCAAGTGCCAACAACCCAATTGCCAACAACTCAAGTACCAACAACCCAAGCTCCAACAACTGGAGCTGCAACAACCCAGTCTTCCACAACCAATGAGAGAGCAACCCCTCTGGGAACTGCTCAACCACCAACAGCGGTACCTTCCGGTAAGTTCCTTGTGTTCATGATTGTTTCACAATAAACTTGTCACCATTGCAGGCATGGTCTCTGCGGCCTAGAGTTCTGGCAGAGAGCACATGCAGTGGCCGCTGAGAAGGTTCTAAGTCCTATGGAATAAGCCCATTGCACAAATAGTTTGTACCACTAATACCCCGAACAGCCACCTGGGCATGGTTGTGTAGGGTGCTGGCCATAGAGTTGAACAATGCACCCTGGATCACAGCATACTCGCATGCATTATTCATAAATTCCATATTTGGCAATACACGATGGACTTACTATAAAGAATATTGGGTGATAAGAACTAAAGTTAGTGCCAGTAAGTCTCAACCTAGGGTTCCTGAGAAATTTTCCAGTGAATTAGCTTCTCTAATTCTGTGTGCTCTATCCTATGTCATTTTTAGATATAGCATTCACATGTGATGCACAAGACGATAGCTGCATATTCCTCAACTTTACCAGTGGCTGGACAAAGGAAATTGGCATGAATTCTGGTAAGGTTACTTCTAGCGTGCAGACCAATGTCAATGTTTCGACAACCTCTGACATAATAATATATTGTTGTCCTACGAAGTCCCTTTTGGCGTTGCGCTGCGTGCGGGGTTCGCAGTTGTGTGCCCCACTACGTGCATGCGTGTATGCATGATATTACCATTTTCTCTTGTGGAAGTGTGGTTACCTTCTTCCTGAACTCTCCTTGCAATCAGAATAAGAAACTGTTTTTCTGAGTTGTGTGTATGTGAGTGAGAGTATCCGAATAGCCCATCGTTAGCTCCCAACCCGACGGCAATAGTATGTTGCCTACTGCAATTGTCAGTAGTACGAAGGGAATACTATGCCTGGTTTACTGCCACTCAGTTACCGTGCACAACTTACTTGGTTTGCATGAGACTTTCCCGTGAATGCAATGAATGTAATTCCACGTCTTTCTAGTGCTACTGCTTTTCATGTGCATGGAAAGTAGTTGACAGGCTTGCATTTAGGGTATTTGAATAACTCCCCGGGTGTACCGTATGTCCCCGAGTATAAGTTGTACCTTCCACACGAAACTGGGCAAGAGAGGGATGTCACCTACTATCAAACATGTTATCCTGCTTGTGTCAGTATATTGAAACAATATGGTTCACAGTTGAAAATTGAGGCACGGCTTACAATCGGGGAAATGCAATGTTTATAAATTGTTGTCCCGAGTTGTACAATCTGCCTAACTTACGGGCCGTATTATGATTCAGCGCAAGCATAGTACAAGTACATTCTGTACCTCTTTGTGATCTCTCTCAGTATCCTGTATTCCTAATACAGCTATTAGTGAGCCCTAGAGGGTACAATTCTGCCAGGAGTGCTTTTCAAGGTCTGATTCAGTGTTAGAAAGCCGATACATTGACTTTTTGCAGGGATCATGGAGGGCATCAGTCAGTGTAGCGACATTGCATAATGGAAACTGCCACACTGTTTGCACTTTTACGCACTGAAAAGTGACAATTTGGTCAGTACATCACTTCTAGTAGAACTACATTGTATGTTACCCAGTGTGTTATATGTTGTTTTGTATCACACCCAGGTTTATATCAGCTGAATGGTGGGATAAGCGGACTGATGAACACAGAGACAGTCTTCTTTTCTCCCCCGGATGGTGTACCGGCACCTGGTTACCCAGGCTTTGTCTTCAACCTGCCCTGCACAGTTCAGTTGACGTTGCAACAAAGTGCCAGCAGCTGCACACCTGCGCCTTTGCAGCATCTTCCACCATTCAGTCTATCTGGTAGTCCATGCACTACGACAGTGCTGACAGCTGTTGTGACCAACAAACTATTTCAAGCAAACCGCATCACACTGGCTGGAGGTAGTGAACCTATGGATGTGATTCGACTGCTCAATGTAACATCACTTGCCATGGAAAACACTCTAACGCTGCTGAATGCCTCGTCTTCATGCAGTAAGTCTGAACTTACTTGTCTGTGGATATTAATGAAATTCCTTTTGCTTGTGAACCCACAGTATGACTGCTGCATCCTTGTCCTTTCTCAGCTTCCTAACAGGGTAACTTACAAGAAAAAAATTGGCCAATTTAAGACCAATGGCAACGCTTTTGTCAAGGCCTTAGTATACTTTGCCAGGGAACCTAAGCTGGCATATCACTTTCATTGCCGTCGTGGCAGCTCTGCTTTGCGTCAGTGAACTAGCTAAATGCGGCATGAGCTGCGAAGGCACAACTCTACAAGCGTCTTCTCTACCGGCATGAGTCGCCGAAGCTGAAGCAAACTGCTTAGTTAGTTTTGTGCTTTATTTCATGTGCTTTTTTGTAGGTGTGGTTAGAGAGACTACAACAGTGATATACTACTCCTGTTCTGGAGAGCAGAATGCAACATCATTTACGTACACATGCAGTAGTGCTGATGGTCCATGTCACGTTCCACTGCAATGTACAAATGGTAAGATCATTCATTATGCAGTCAACCAAGCCTTCCTCAGCCTACACAATGCAGACATGAACAGCTAATGTTGTATGTAAGACATGGCACTCCACTCGGTTCCTATGTTCAGTGCATGATCGAAATGTAAGATAAAAATAACGTTTACTTGTACAGGTGGTTGTCTATACTTGTATCAGTGGTGTGCCGTAGGCTTGGACACAAGGAGCAGAATTCCGTATGGTGCGACATTATTATGACATGTATACATTCTGCTATTTTGTCACCTTACAGTGGTTGACTAATCGTTGTAGCATACATGAGACTGGACTGTTCCATGAAAACTAAAATATATCTTTCCCAAAGCAAGCCCACTGGCCCGGAGGAGTGCACCTTCCCTGAATACGTCGTGTACATGACAAATCCCTGTACTTGTTGTGCCACATGATTCGCACGGGAGTACGACAGTGCGGGAATGCAGTACATGACTGTACTATTCCGTGTGATGATTATGTTGACTATGGCATACCACGCAGAGGGCGTGATAAGTCCAAATCAGAAAACGGCCTAAACCTGGGATAACCTGATGATTTGCAGAACTGAAAATTTCAGGGTATTCAATTTTTGTAGCACTGAGTCGAATAATGTTGGTTCGAAGAAGCTGCAACAAACTGGGGCGTCGGAAGTTATTCGACATTGGTGCGGCCATGAATAGGTGGAGGGTCCGGGGTCCTCCCTGGGAAATGTTTAGGAAAATTGGGCCCGATTAGCCCATATTTCAATACTTCTTAAGTCACAGGACTAAAGTATTGTATGTATGTATGTATATTTTTATTTGAATTCGCAAGTACACACGGGCTACAAGCCCAATTACATGGAAGCGAATGCCATAATGAGGCCAATTAAGAAAAGAAAAAAAGGTGGAGGAAGGAGGAGGACGGTAGCAGAGCAACAGGGAGGACAATTCAGGACCAAAATCAACAATTGCACAAATGTGAGAGCACCTGAGACCGGGGGTACCTGTGGAGCGATAAAATGCCAAGCAAACAGAAGAAAGGAAATCACAAGCCAATACACGCTAAACTGCACTTGAGTTAGAATGAAGGGGAAAACCGGAGCTCAACAAAATTATAACGTACAAAGTCATAATAAGAAGTCAACTGGATATGATGAGAAGTAGCACAAGCAAACATTTCCTGACAACGAGAGGGGCTGTAACTACAGCCACAGCAGTAGCTGCTGTAGCAGCAGCAGCAGCAGCAGCAACAACAACAACAACAACAACAACAACAACAACAACAACAACAACAACAACAACAACAACAACAACAACAACAACAACAACAACAACAACAACAACAACAACAACAACAGCAACAGCAACAGCAACAGCAACAGCAACAGCAACAACAACAACAACAACAACAGCAGCAGCAGCAGCGCCGTGCAGACTCCTCCAAGGTGCGGCATTGGCCGCGTCTGCCGCATTGGTACCGACGCCCCGGAAAAACGGTTCCCAAATCGAACGCCTTGCGAACATTGGCCATTTTGTACAGAAATTGACGGTGTAGCTACCTGGCTGCACGCTGTGACGTCATCACCTGGATGAGGTAAACTGTGCGCTCAGGGTTGATGGGGAATATCTGACAAACTATAAATCGCAGCCTCCTTGGACAAAAAAAGACCATTCAACTCATCGCCCCAAACTCTACGGACCCTGAAAGTTTCCTTTTGTACCGAACTTCCCATTTAACGTTTTATTAATGGAAATTCACTATCATTCTCAGAGTAATTTAGACTACTTCACTGGGTAGAGTCTAGTGCATTGGCCCTTCGACCCACGGATCTTTGTAAAATTAATATAATTCCGATCCAACACACAAGACACAGAGCACCACACATCTTCGTTGTGACTAGTAGTTCCATGCTCATAGGCAATCATCAGCTCGACTGAGCTGTCTGATGATTGCCTAAGGGCATGAAACTAGTAGTTACAATGAAGATGTGTGGTGCTCTGTGTCTTGTGTGTAGGATAGCTCTGTTCGCATGAACATTGATCACTCTCCCGAGCCTGAGGACTCTACAATTTTGTATTTCCAGCCTATAGTTCTCGATCATAGATTGTACTGTTAGGTTCCTCCTCCCGTACAATCTTACCTACAACCTTTCCTAAGCTGGCCGGCCCTGCATGCACCCGTACTACGTCATACTCACCTTTCGTTCCGTTGGCCTGGGTAGCTACTTGCGCGCCCATGTTTGCCATAGCTACCCAGGCCTTTTATATTGCGTTGCTTCTCTCTTCAACTCTCTCTCTCTCTCTCTCTCCAATAATCTCACTCTTCAATCAAAGAAAGTGCCATGTGTGTGAACCAAGTCTTTGTATTCAGTGCATATTGGGGTGAAATCACGTTTTGGTGATACAGGATGTTTCTAGGCGAGCGCCTGTTTTTTGTTCAGGACTTTTGTAGCAGCAGACAATAGCACTACATGTATCAATGATGAGAAATTGATGTAAAGAAAGATAACATTCCAGAGTTAGAAATGCTATTTGGATGCTAACTTTGCCTGCTAAATACGCACTCTTCGCCACACAGAGATAAGCCCGTGATGCCACTATACCTGATCCCAAAGTGCATATTGGCATTGTAGTAGTGTGTATAATTCACACTGTGATCGAGATTGTGTTTGACCAGCTCATACTTCTCTGCCACTATTGATACAGTGTCTTAGACCATGATGCTGGTAGTAAATGTGCAATACTTCAACAACTAGCTAAGGGCGTGATCGTTTGGTCGAATCCGGAGTAGGTGTAGTTGGAGTGCACCCCCCCCCCCCCCCCACACACACACCGGGAGTGGCTGGAGTTGAAATGGACTTTGACTCTTTTTCACAGCTTTCACAGAATCTTTGTACGATATGCGTACTACAACTTTGCTTTGTTCGATAAGGCGAGCGTTGCTCGGACCACACCACCTGCTCGCACTCAATCCGGATTCGCCAATCGAGGACACCCTTAGCTTTGTCTATTTTTAATTGCCAAACCTAAAGAATACAATGGTCAAATCATTCATCAAAATCTTTTTGATCCTCTGCAGTTACATCGTGCCGGAGCAATGGAACTCAAGGATATAGTTTTGACATACTGTTCCAGTGTCCAGTGACTGGCAGGAACATGACAGCACAATGTAGAAATGAGAGCAGCCCAATAGCTCGTGGCTCTGGTTTTGGCTGTAGTAATGAACCACCAACACTGCCTAGTAAGTTAGATTCCCGGGATTGTCCAGCACTTCAGTAAAGCAGAGTCTTTCATGGACTTTGCGCCACATTCCACTTATGCCTAGAGATATGTGTAGACTGCTGGTTGGCAATAGAGTTATTGTGAATGTTTTGTCGTTTTAATTAGAGGTTGGCACGAGTCGTTCGTGAATGTGTCCTCGTCTTGGGATTGCTGTGATCCTGACACTATTTGCGATATGCCTGATTGTAAATTAACCATTGAGTGAGTTCATGTTTGGGTAATGTATGTTGTCTTTGCTCTCGTACAGGCAGCTGTGATGCTGCCTCACTGCCCCGTCTTAACAGCAATTCTGGAAATTTGACTCAACTAAATGGAAGTCATGTGAATATAACGTGTTACAAGAATTTTAGATGTCTAGGTCGGGAATCCGTGGTTGTGTCATGTGCGGAGTTTCAAGGAAATTGCTGTCAGCCATGTAAGTAAATCATCTCTTGTTGAAAGTGAAAACCCACTAAATCCATTTTCTTACTTTTCTGACAATGCCCACAAAATGGATTCATTCTATGTGCAGTTTGTATCTAAATCTGTTCTGAAATGGTTCTAGTCAGATTTTGAATGTGAAATGTTGCCTGTTGGTGCCCCTAGACCTTTTGATTACACTTCGCTGAAATTTTTCTCCAATTTGGCATTTATCGGGGTGTGCATAATCAGTTTTTCAAATGTTCCTCTATTCGTTTATGATACTTAGTTCGAACAAGGTGTTTTCTGGTTGAAGTTGAGAATGTGTTAAGCCTCATTATTTTCAATGGATATATATACCACTGTGTGGTGGGTCTGATTTAAGTTACTCACCTCCCACCGCTTTAGGAGCTGCATCGGTGCCTTGATCCATAGAGGATGTTGGCGTTCCTACAGATGCGGAATACTTGGCCTCCGGTCGAGTCTCACGCGAACCGTGAAATTTTATTGTATTTTATACCTACATGTGCTAGAAGCCTTTCGCACGAGCTATTGAAGAAAAGCATAGCCATCTTCCCCAAACCTGTTGGTAAACACTGTTCGACTATCCTCCCACTACCAAGGTGCAGGAATTGGGTTTGTCAGTGTATGCTTCATGCTTATTAACTTAATAACTTTCCATCGGAAATGGTAGTGGCACAAGGCGCCTAGAGCTAAGGACGCATAGGAATGAGCATTTGGGCAAAAACTACCATCAAAAGTAGTCCCTACCTATGGATTCAAACTCCCCGAGAACCTTTGCCAAGCCACCACATCACCTTGATGACTTGTCGATGAGGAGGTTGGTGAATATCAATTGCTGAAGGCCAGACTCAATGGAGACAAGTTGGCTTAGTATCTTGTTTTGTTTTCCCGAGCTTTGCGCAACAAATCTAAGGCAGCAAAGCTGATACTCCACTTCTTCCAAAGACTGGTCACACGCATAACGTTGTGGCATACTCAAGATGCCATCCATACCACAATGCGGTAGTATCCCTGAAGTATCCCTGCATTTTGATGGACAGAAGCGATGCTTCAATAGGAGCAGGATAAACTAAAGAATATTTGCCACCACTACTGTAGTATCCGCAGCTCCGACTTGCGCTACTGGCTTGCGGCTCACCATGAAGTAATGTAGAGTAGCTTGGTCAACGCCAGCATACCGCACTCACGGCTTGCATTTTGTTTTTAAAACTATCCGACTTTCCTTTCTGCTTTTTTGTTTTAGTGCAATGTCCAATTCTCCGTCCGCTGTCCAATGGCACCTATGCACCAGCAATGTTCTCAAGGCGTGTGGGTAGCTCTGTCACAGTACAATGTGTGAGTGGATACCGGGTATCATTCCTGTCAGCACTGCCTCCAGATCCACCAACAACTAGTATCAACCTTACTTGCTTGGAATCAGGCAGTTGGTCATCGTCTGATCCTATTTGTCAGGGTAAGGTCTCAAATATTGAGGTCCTGCATAGAGCCATTCACGTACACAAAGCTGAGTTGCAGTTGACTTTGCGAAAGTGCTCGTGAAACTCCCAGTAACAATGATACGAAGTGTCCTGCCGTTGTGAACTTGTGTGAATGTCAACATCCATGTTCCCGCATCAGTGATTGATATTGCAGCACACGTATTGTCATCTACAGTGCAGGTGAAGTTGAGTTGTTATCCATAGCAGTGTGTGCTTTAGGGTTGACTCTAGGATCATGGGTTGGCCAGGTACAACTTTACCTGGCACCACACTCTAAACCGGGTTGTCAACCTTGACTTGGGATTAGTTTATGAGACTAAGAAGCTGTGACCCTTGCTGCTATTGCAGTTTTTTGTAACCTCCATTCATGACATTGTAGCTTTATTTGAGCCCGTATAATATTGTTTATTCACCTGTAAGTCGCCAATCGATGTAGGTTCACTTATGACCATCGAAGGAAAAACGTTTATGGATCACTTTTTTTAATTCCTGCATGATTGCTTCATGGTATTATGTCGGCATCGATTTTTCTATTTGTCGCATTGTCTTTTAAGCCTAAGCTTTACTGAATTTTTCTCCATCGCTCCAGTTGTTGATTGTGGAACACCACGGAATCCAACATTGTCAGTGCCTGGGGAAATGTACGCCACATCATTGTCATCAAGTGGAAGTTCCAGCCCGGGCAGTGTCATGATGTATGAGTGCCCGCAGAGCTTGATAATCAAAGGAACCCAACCAGCCATGAACAGAAGTAGCCTAACATGTCAACTGAGTGGTAATTGGACAGGTGCAGTGCCAATATGTACTGGTATGTACTGGATGTGCCAGTGGCTCTCGTTTTGATGTCTAAAAACAAAAGGTGTAGCCAGCATGACAGGATGGATCAATTATGTTCCCAGTAGCCGATAAACACATATTTACTTTACACATTGTAAGAAAAGGGTTCAGATGTGATGTGCAGCTAGTAATTTGATTTATTCTAAAGTTTTATCACAAAGCTAATGGGTCCTTTGCGCTCAGAAATGCGGTACGGTAACAGCAATACCACACCAGCCGGAGTGTACAATGTACGGTAACAGCAATACCACATAATCCGGAGTGTACAATGTCCCATGGGAGTTTTAGAACAGAGAAATGTGTCCTCTCCGGCAATAAAGACTCTATTGCTATTTTAAGGGTCGTAGACACACCAGTTTGCTAAATCTGCGGCACTGTGGTGCATTCATACTATTAGATTGCATGATGTATAGATTCTGCCAGTGCTGATTTTTTCGCTCTTACCGCTGCCACTGACATTATCGTTAGAGAGGTTTTGCATTCCGAATTTCGGAATGTTTTTCAGCTGTGCTTTTCCGAAAAACGTCATTTTCAGTGTTTTGCATTCCGAAAATCTGATTCGACTTCGTTTCCAAGGGTTGCCATGCAAAACAAAATGGAGAGCGTAGAAGGCGCCAAAACCGAAAACTCTTTGCTTCCGAATCTTGCAGATTCGGTTTTGAGACGTGCTGGTCCAACAACAGCATGCATGTGTGGTCTCTGGTCGACTTCCTGGTGATACATGTACCAGCAAACGTTGGCTCAGACAAGCGGCTAGAACTTGCAGTCTCCTCGAATCCCACAAAGCCGCGAAGAAAGGGGTTGGGCACAAATAGGAGTTGCCTGAGCAGGCTCAAATCCATGTGCAGCTCAAACCGAATTTGGGTGCGGTTCGAAGACGAGGACGGACTGAGTGATGGATCGAGTGATCCAACAGCTAAACAGTCTTGTACTGTCAGTAGGCTCTCAATGGCAGAGGAAGATGGAGGGTGTGAAGATCTAGTCAACATGGCGATATCAGCGAGAGCAGCAAAAACCAAAACTACACACGTGGGAAAATTTTCAAATATGATCAGCGAGAGCAGCAGGAAACAAAAATACGCACATGAAAAATACTCAAATATGCCCTCCCAAACAGGAAAGAGCCGAAAATATATTTTCGGAAAACCATGCACTTTCGCCACCACACTTCCGAAAGTTTGACTACTTTTTCGACTCCTGCCGCCACATTCCGAAAATAATTCCGAAATTTGGAATGCAAAACCTCTTTGTTGTTATTGTTGTTTCAGCTTTATCCTCTCCCACTGTAGCGGCAACAACACAATCAACCACACAACAAACTACACCAACAGCAACGGCACCGGCAACAGCACAGACAACCCAGGTATCAACCACATCACCTCCAACATCACAACCTGCTACCACAGTAGCACGGACCACACAAAGACAAACAACAGCAGGAGGAATGACAACGCAACCATCCACAACCCAGGCACCAACAACTCAAGCCCCCACAACCCAGGCACCAACAACTCTAGTTCTGACAACACGGGTATCAACACGAACAACGCGACCAAGAACAAGCCGAGCACCGAGGACTACTCGGACACGGACAGCTACATCTCAAACGTCACGACCCGGTACAGGAACACAAGGTCAAACAGCTCAAACACAGTCAACTGGATCAGCATCAACTTCATCCTCAGCATCATCTCTTCCAACATCAACCTCCACAATGGAAGTTCAATCATCCGTAGGAGTAGTGGGGCCTGCTGCAAGTTCAGGTGAGAAATCTGATCATTTCTCCCATGAAATAATGATTGTTGGATGCCATTCTTATTGCGATACAAGTTATGAGCATTGAATTGGGACTTGTTTTCAACATACTTGTCTAAAACAAATCTTTAAGGTGGCATAAATTTGAGCCTTTCCTTTACTTATGAGCACTGAATTTTGCCTTGTTTCATACCATGCCGAGAAAGTCTCTGCTACTTGCACTTGCTTTCCCCTGTTCCGTGTCCAGGAAACACATTGGCAATAGGAGTAGGGGCTGGTGTTGGTGGAGTACTGCTGGTGTTGGTCATTGTTATCATTCTGATTGTCCTTATCAGGAGAAGGTATGTTTGCAGAGCGAAAAAGAAATACATGCACATCAGTGTCATGGAAATTCTACATGTGTACAGGATGTTTCTATTCTGGAAATATAGAAACCTGGGTTGTTTGTGTGGACATGTAGGTGGAATAGTGCCATGCATGCGCTCTCTTATCCCAGTACTCCATGTGCACGCCTACATGTAACGTTACGTGTGTGTGTGTGTGTGTGTGTGTGTGTGTGCGTGTGTGGGTGCGTGCGTGCATGCGTGCATGCGTGTGTGTGTGTGTGTGTGCGCGCGTGCACATGCGTGAGTGTGTATGTGTGTTTGTGTGTGTGTGTGTGAATCACTGTCTGTACATGCATGTATACATATATATGTGTGTGTGTGTGTGTGTGTGTGTGTGTGTGTGTGTGTGTGTGTATGTGTATGTGTGTGTGTGTGTGTATGTGTGTGCGTGTGTGTGCGTGTGTGTGTGTGTGTGTGTGTATGTGTGTGTATGTGTGTGTGTGTGTGCATGTGTAATTTCTTGAAACAATATACATCGTGTGCAGTGGCAGCAGCAGCAAGGGAGGGGCAGAAGTAGCTGGATACGAAGATACTATGCCAAACAATGCAAGTGGCCGCTTTGCCTCAACCCGTGGTCGGGAGGGTCGTGATTCGGTTGTCCTGTCCAACTATTCCGTCAGTAAGTTACAGGGACCGATTCTACTGTAAAACTTAACGGGTCCATGTTGATTGGAAATGTGATGTGCAGTGTACAGTAGATCTGGCCCATCGGAACAGGTCCGCTTGGTCAGGTCATCACCGGACCGATCAGCTTTTTGGCCACCACTCTATGTTTACTGCTGAGAAGGTTGTGTGTATCAACTATAATTTTTATTTTTATTTAGCCCCATCCCTCACACAAACAAGTCAACAAAGAGGCATCTTTGGATTGAGGAGTGCTGGTTTCGAAACAACTGGTTTGAAGCTCAAAGTAGAGCTGGTGTTAGCTCAGAGCAGAGCTGGTGTTAGCTCAAAGTAGAGCTGCTGTTAGCTCAAAGTAGAGCTGCGGTTAGCTCAAAGTAGAGCTGCGGTTAGCTCAAAGTAGAGCTGCTGTTAGCTCAAAGTAGAGCTGCGATTAGCTCAAAGTAGAGCTGCTGTTAGCTCAAAGTAGAGCTGCTGTTAGCTCAAAGTAGAGCTGCTGTTAGCTCAAGGTAGAGCTGCTGTTAGCTCAAAGTAGAGCTGCTGTTAGCTCAAAGTAGAGCTGCGGTTAGCTCAAAGTAGAGCTGCTGTTAGCTCAAAGTAGAGCTGCTGTTAGCTCAAAGTAGAGCTGCGGTTAGCTCAAAGTAGAGCTGCTGTTAGCTCAAAGTAGAGCTGCTGTTAGCTCAAAGTAGAGCTGCTGTTAGCTCAACGTAGAGCTGCAATGCTAAATGGATGTAATATAGCGCAAGGCAGAGCCGCAGCAAATAGCTAGATAACACCAGTTGTGAGAGTGGACCCGGTTAGTGGGTACGATAATATTATGATGGTGTGAATAAGTTGGATAGGGAGGGATGGTGGGAAAAGAAACACTGCTGAAGCACGATCCGTTGTCTGGAAGAGCACAACAGGGCAAGCAAGATTTGTTTTTCTTTTCCGCAAAAATGGGCTGGTGCCATTTGTGATTACGCAGCAAAACAAAGCGCATGACGTCAGTCTTGAATGCAGTACAAAGCAATGCAGTGCAGTGTGTGCGCTAGTTCGGATTGTTGCTAACAAGTACTAGCACAGCTAGTACACCATTAAACTCGGATACTGAGCCAGTAATAAAATTTAAACTCGGAAGAAACACGTGAGAACGAGTTATGCAGCAACTATCCACGACTGTAACAATTTATTACTTTGTAATTTATTACTGGCTCAGTATCCGAGTTTAAATTTTGCACACCTGATGAGCCGTCACTAACAACACGGCGAAACGTACGTCGTGTGGAACTACTTGTTATTGTAGTCAACTCGTCCACAATAGTGTCATGCATGAGGAGTACCGTTAGATATTGGCATCCGGTTTTGTACAATTCTTTTTCACAAAGCTTCCCCCTTCCTTTATCCCTGATGTTGCTGACCCACCCTAGTTGGGTGGTGTGTTGCTTTGCTGCTTCGAATTGTAGTCAGACTGCATTGTCATGTTATTAACTTAATTAACTGGTCTCGTCATCGTTCTGTAACAGTCGGCATTCTTTGTTGCCGCAGGACTTAGCTTGTGCACATTTTCGCTGCGCTCACCTTCCCCTCTTCGGTCCTACGTAACCATGAACCTTCCAAGTTGGAAGGCTGTTGGTTTGCGCACTGGAGATGTGTTGGAGCTAGGTCTCCGGTTGGTGAATGTCTCAGTAGCCTGTCAGTTTTGTGCCCTATTATCGCACTTTCTGACCGTTTATCATCTTGTTACAGTCGTGGATAGTTGCTGCATAACTCGTTCTCATGTGTTCCTTCTCTTTTTTTACAATTATTATTATTATACGCAAAATATGAGGGGCTGTGTTATGGCCGGACCAATAAGGGAAGTTCACCCTCAAATGAAAACTCCACAACCTGTAGCGAAAAATGCACCGGTTCCAATGGTGAAGGTCTGGGGTTGATCGGAGCAGCCGTTCCCGAGTTATACCAGCTTGAAGTTTGCACTAAAATTGGTGACATCACGATGACGTCATTAACTTGCCCAGACCAGGCCGGATTTATGACGTCAGAGGGATAGACATGGGAGTAGATGGGGAAATTTCAGTACTAGTATTTTGGCTCTCCATTGTCCCAAAGAAGTTGGATGTTTTTCAAACTTCGGTATGGGACATACGGCACCCTACCGATATCCCGACTGGAAAAAATTATAGTATGAAATTCATTGTTGCGGAGACACGGGAAGGAAATTGGTTTTTCCCCATCTATTCCCATACAAAGTCTATCTCTATGACGTCATAAATCCGGCCTAGTCTGGGCAAGTTAATGACGTCATCATGATGCCACCAAATTTAGTGCAAACTTCAAGCTGGTATAACTCGGGTACGGCTGCTCTGATCAACCTGGGACCTTCACCATTGGAATCAGTGCATTTTTCGCTACGAGTTGTGAAGTTTTCATTTTAGGGTGAACTTCCCCATTAAATTAAAATACTGCTTCCGACGCGCCCGTAAGATACAGGGAAGGAAATGCTCCTTTGTCCATAGTCAGCATAATAGTTATTATGGTGCTGATATACTTTCTTCAGGCAGGCAGGCATAGTGGGATGGTCTAAGACCATGATTGAGAAACAGAGGGTACCAGGTTCAAGTCCTGCTTGGAAGCGGAAGGATTTTTTCCAGCTGTGCTGCGACCCACAGTTAATTGGGAACTCGTGGCCTGGCACGAGGGAAACATGGATGCAGTGAATGGGATTTCGGTCTTTGACCACTTTGTGGTGGGTCTGATCTACTCACCTCCCACC